CGACGCAAGACCGCTCGTGACCATTGCCAACCTGCGCAAGTAAGATTTTTCTAACCCCAAGACATCTTTGGAAGCTCCAGCCCGTAAGTATCTTCTTATCTAGAAGAACGTTTAGCCTTGTACCAAAGATGACTTTTTCGCTAACACATTTTTATGGTGTGCAACGACCATGCCACCAAGGGTTCTGAAGCCATCAACAAAGGCTGAGGGGTTCATATTCCCTTAGGTCAACCCAACTGAGCCAGCCGAAGCGACCCCCGGTGCCATCCCTACAGGAGAGATACAGATTGGTGCCAAAAAGTGACCATCCATGGAGCGACGCGAAGAAGCTCCTTAGCCCGTGGTTGCTCATGCTGCGAAACAGAAAACCATGGGCCAGAAGACCAAGAAAAGGAAACAACTGACCATCGAGGAGGAAATGGAGTCGGAGCTAGAGCGCCTCAAGGTGCTACTGGAAAGGACTAAGTCATACCATGCCATTTGCTAGGGAATACCCCAAAGGGATCCCCTAACACTTCGATGGCCCTCGGAAGTTCGCACAAGGGAGAGGGAGCGGCCACGGCTGTCCAGAGGAGAGCAAGCAAGCAACAGGTCGAAGATGTTCCTACCCCCTCGGGGCTAGATCCATTTGTGTTGGATTCTCTAGGGCAACTGTCAGAGCACTTGCAGCCTGTAATATACACCCTGTTGGAATGGTAACTTGCTAAGGCCTTCGAGGAGTTCGTGGCTTCCTGACCTACCGATCTAGTGGCTACCGTGCTCTAGCTGCATAGTCAGGTAAAACATCTTATTCTCTTTGAGAACCTTCTAACACCAGCCAATTTCTCAGCGCTTTTTTTTTTTTTTAATGATTTTGAGAAAAGGAAACTAACTTTTGTCTCTTTTCCAATGCAGTCTCTGCTTGCCCTGACCGTAGTCTAGTAAAAGATTGACATGTACTCTGCCGGCAGACTCAAAGAGCTAAAGAAGGAGAACGTCAAGCTGAAGTAGGACCTCATGGCCATGGATGCAGAGTCAAAAGTAGCTCACATCCAAGCAGATCAGTACCTGGCAAAGAGAGATTATGCTCTTTAGGCTGTAGACTTTCAGAATGTTGAGCTCGAAAAGAGAGATTGGGCAATAAAGAGCTCCAATGGATGGTGGCCAGACTCACCAAAGAGCTGAGCGAAAGGAAAAAAGAGCTAAGGGTGAGCACCAATCACACGAAGGCGACGAAGGAGGAGAATCGGGCTCAGTTGTGGGAGAACTCTAAGAAACAAAAGAGGGGAATGGAGACGGTCCTCGAGTTGCTTCAGGGGCGAGTCGTTTCATTGACTGAGCAGATGAAGCAACAAAACCTCGAGCTCGAAAGGAAAATTGCTCACTGGGCAATACAAGCTATTTATAGCTTGCGACCGAGAAACCTAGAGATGGACATCTCCGAACTTCCAAACAAATACCAGTCCATTCTTGTTTCTATGCTTCAAGCTGAGGAGGCCAAGCAGCAAAAGGAACAAGAACCTCCTCCAGGAGATGATCAGTTGGAAACGAACATTCCTGAAGATCGAGCGAACGATCCAGAGGCTGACGATCATCCAGAGGATCGAGAGGTCGCACCCAGGGGGCCTGGAAATGAAGACTAATAATCGCTCTCTTTTCTGTTCTTATAGTCTCTCAGCTTAACTTTTGTAGCTCCTCATTGTCTCTTGTACTTACTTGCTCAATATATAAAAGAAATTTTTTTGCCACTTGTGATAGTACTTTTATACCTTAAGCACTACACAAAATAAATATAACTTATTTGATCATTGAACTTGTAAAATATTATAAAGAACAAGATTATTTAAAAAGACTTGAGATCACGACACAAGTTTTTCTTCGAGAGGAAGTGGAGCAATCTTATTCATAATACTTACAAGAAGGAAAATTTTACAAGTAAAAGGAAATGATCAAAGCTACAAGCGAGTTCAGAATTATTGATAATAAGGGCGAAGATGCTCAGCATTCCAGGCTCGCGGCACTTCGAAACTGTTAAGCCTTTTGAGGTGATACGTCCTAGGTCATATCACCTTAGCGATGCGGTATGAACCTTCTCAGTTCGGTCCCAATACCCCCGCACTTGGTTCCCTTGTGCCAAGAAGAACTTTTTTCAGAACTAGGTTGCCAACTTGAAAGTCCTTTCTCCTAACTTTAGAGTCGAAGAATCTTTTTGCCCGCTACTAGTAGGAAGCTATCCTTAACCGAGCCTTTTTGCATTGTTCTTCAACCAAGTCCAGACTTGCACATAAGAGTGTTTTGTTGTCTACCTCATTAAAAAAATTGCTTCAAAGTAAACCAGTTTCTACTTCCATTGGAATCATTGCCTCGCAGCCAATGTTCTAAAACCAAGACTGGATTGGGATGTCGAACCGGTCCGATTGGGTTTCGGTGAGATTACCAGTTCAAAAGAAGTAAAAAATCAGGATTTAACGTTAGACCGCTTTAAACCGTTATTGGACTGTTTTACTATAGCAAACTGACGATCCAACTGGTGCAACACCCAAATCCAGTCCAACGCCCAATCCGATCCACTAACAAAACCCTAAAGTCCTAAACTAAACCCAATTTTTTTAACCTATTTTTATTTTCTTTTGGCAATTCAGGATTGTGTTTGGTTATTTGCTTTTTGGTTTGCCTCCTCCTCCAGTCTAGTTCTCCTCCTCCATTTGCGATCTCTTTCAGGCTTCAGCTTCAGCTTCAAGTCTTCAAGTCTTCAACCTCTTCAATCATCAATGTTACCATCTAAAAGTCTGCTACTCTGCTTCTTCCTTTTCATGGCCGGTCTACTACACTATAGTTTTGTCACTCGTCAGTCGTGACTTTAACTTCAGTTCAGAGTCTTCAAGTATTCAACCTCTTTAATCATCGCCTTCGGCATCTAAAAGTATGCTTCTTCCTTGTCGTGGCTAGTCTGCTAGATTCGTGAGTCATGACTTCAACTTTAGTTCAGACTTCAGCCTTCACATCTGCCATCGACCAAGTAAGAAACTGTTGTAAGAGTCATCCTATCTTTCTCTGTCTTCTATTTCATATCATGATATTGTATTATTATGATATGAATCTGTCAATTGAATTTTTGAAACTCTTAAAACTGATTTCTTATTGTGAATCTATTATTTGTCAATTGAATTTTTTAAACTCTAAAAAGTAATTTCTCATGGGAAATTAGAATTTGATGGTGAAAGTTTCACCATGAAACTTCATTATAGTAACAGAGTAACTGAAAAGGGGAATTTTTACATCAAGAAGATGCGATGTAAAATGCAAAATATTCATCAAATTAAGAGTCCATTAATTATTCATCATGCCAGTAGATTAATCTAGCAATGAAATTGAGAACTTAGAAATAGAGATTTTGCTGCTCCATAATTTTCATTTCTAGTGAGTTGAAATGCCAGAAATAGAGATTTTGCTGCTCCATAATTTTCATTTCTAGTGAGTTGAAATGCCGCAGCCCNTGACTTTAACTTCAGTTCAGAGTCTTCAAGTATTCAACCTCTTTAATCATCGCCTTCGGCATCTAAAAGTATGCTTCTTCCTTGTCGTGGCTAGTGTGCCAGATTCGTGAGTCATGACTTCAACTTCAGTTCAGACTTAGCTTTCACATCTGCCATCGACCAAGTAACAAACTGTTGTAAGAGTCATCCTATCTTTCTCTGTCTTCTATTTCATATCATGATATTGTATTATTGTGATGTGAATCTGTCAATTGAATTTTTGAAACTCTTAAAACTGATTTCTTATTGTGAATCATTATTTGTCAATTGAATTTTTGAAACTCTAAAAAGTAATTTCTCATGGGAAATTAGAAATTAATGGCGAAAGTTTCACCATGAAACTTCATTACAGTAATAGAGTAACTGAAAGGGGGAATTTTTACATCAAGAAGATGCGATGTAAAATGCAAAATATTCATCAAATTAAGAGTCCATTAATTATTCGTCATGCCAGTAGATTAATCAAGCGATGAAATTGAGAACTTAGAAATAGAGATTTTGCTGCTCCATAATTTTCATTTCCAGTGAGTTGAAATGGCCCCCGCCCGTATTAGAACTTGCCTGGAACACATGGATACTCTTTTTTGCTCTCATTGCAATAGCTTTTTTCCCTGTTACCCTCTTCTATGGAGTACATACCTGCAAAGACAAGTGATAAATATTGAAACATAAAATTTTACAGTTCTTAATTTGAAAAAGTTAACTAATTATTTTTGTCTTTCAGTGTTAAATTCATCCAGAAAGTGTTTGCTATTGAGATTTATATTTAAACATTTCAATTGTAAAAGTCAACTGTAACAGAGAATCCAACATGAGTAACATGATGAGTACATAAATTTTCTCATTTACATGCTGCCATAAAGTAAAATGCTATTAGATTATCTGTGAACTGTGATCACTAAATTAACTTAATAAAATTTCTGATTTTTCTCCTAGTACTTAGTATGTTTATTCATAATTGTTTCTATATATATATAATATGAATTGATTTTTATATTAATTTAAAGTTATATCTTATAAATTACAACAAATTGATTATTAGTTGCCACTTGCCAGGGGAGAGAATGTCATCATCTTCGTCTACACATAACTCATCAGTCGCGTCCATTTCCTCGCAATCCTTTCGAGGAAAGACCGATATAGCATGGGGACATGTTCTTGAGAGTGTTGATAAAGATGGAAAGAAAATATTATCTTGTCTTCATTGTGGCAAGGTTACTAGAGGTGTTGGTATTTTCCGAATGAAGCAGCACCTAGTAGGAGTAAAAGGGGATATTAGAAAGTGCCCAAAGGTTCCATTTGATGTTAAATTCAATATGAATGAATAACTAAAAGAAATAGGAGTAAAGAATAAAGAAAAAGAATATTTCCGGAAGCATGCAACTCTTTATGGTGCTATAGTACATGAATTTGAGGGTGATAAGTTAGATGAAGAAAATGAAGAGGTTGTCCCATCACAAATGACCATGAATGAAGGTGGTAGTAATGGCGGTAAAAAATAATATACGAGCCGTAAGAGAAAGAAACCTACGGGGGTTAGTAATTATTTTGCTCCACAAACTACTTTTGGGTCTCAGCCTTCAATGAGGAGTGTTTTGGCTGGAAAAGATGCAAAGTGGAGAGCAAACATGTCTGTTGCACAATTCTTTTATGATGCTTGCATCCCGATGAATGCTTTAAACTCAATTTATTTTCAACCTATGTTGGATGTTGCAGCTGCAATTGGCCCTGGGTATAAACAACCTACTTACGATGCTATGCGTGTGAATTTATTGAGAGATGCTAAGAAGGAAGTCCCATTACTTGTTGACAATTATAAGAGTATTTGGGAAGAGGTTGGATGTACATTAATGGCTGATGGTTGGATTGATACTTCCGATAGGTCATTAATTAATTTTCTCGTATACTGTCCTAAAGGTGTTTGCTTTATAAAATCAGTGGATGCTTCAGATGTTGTAAAAGATGTCTTTACATTATTCAAGTTGTTTGAGGAAATGACTTTATGGGTTGGACCAAACAATATTGTCCATGTTGTCATGGATAATGGAGCAAATTTTAAAGCTGTTGGAAGAATGTTGTCTGAGAAGTATGAGAATATTACTTGGTCGCCCTGTGTAGCACATTGCATAAATTTAATTTTGAAAGATATATCTGAGTTGGACCACATAGTGCATCTTGCAAAACGTGCTTCTAAAGTAACCAAGTTTGTGTATAATCACACCATTTTGATACCTTGGTTAAGGAAAAGAGAGGTAACAGCTTATAAACCTTTAACTCATGTTTTTGTCAATTTATTAGATAATAAACATTTTGTAATAATTTACTAACATCTATTATATATGTATCACTTGAACAGGGTTGGAAAGAAATCATACGATCGGGTGCACCTCAGTTTGCTACTACTTTCATTGCATTAAGAAGTCTACATGAGCACAAACATGACTTGCAAGCTATGGTAAATGATAGATTTTTTGTGGACTCACGATATGCCAGAAGTAGTAAAGGCAAGAATGTTATTCCCATGATTCTAGATAATGAATTTTGGGATGACATGGGTTACGTTTCCAAAATTGTGGCTCCTTTGATGCGTTTGTTGTGGATTGTAGACTCAGATGAGAGACCTGCAATAGGATATGTGTATCATGGCCTATATAGAGCCAAAAAAGAGATCAAGAAGTTCTTTAAAAAGAAAAAGACATTGTACAAGCCCTATACCGAAATTATTAAGCTGCGGTGGGATAGGCTTTTACGCCGCGACATTCATGCTGCTGCTTATTATTTGAATCCAATTTTTTAGTATGACCGTGCAACTGTCTGCAAGAAACCAGAGGTTAAACATTTCCTTGATGTTGTCGACAATATAGCAAGTGCATTCAAGTTGAACAAGACAAAGTTAGTTGACGAAAGTAAATTATATCGAGACCGCAAGAAAAGCTTTTCTCATGAGCTTGCCTTTCAAACTTGCAAAACCACACGACCTGGTATGTGATACTTATTAAATTTCTCAATTTTAAGTCCAATTTCTAAGTTATGAATTTATGTTTATTTTATTATTTCATATGGTTAACACTTTAACTTTCAATTAGATGAATGGTGAAAGACATATGGGTATAGTACTCCATAGTTACAGAAGTTTGAAATTAAAATTCTGAGTCAAACTTCAACCTCTTCGGGATGTGAGCGAAATTGGAGTATTTTCGAACGCATCCATTCAAAAAGAAGGAATAGATTGGAGCATCAACGGTTGAATGATCTTGTTTTTATCCATTATAACTTGCGTTTGAAAAATAGGTATAAAGCATTGGCAATTTTAATATTTTTATTATCTCATATTTTTATTGATATTTTTATTTGGTGTGTCTTTCAGGATGTGTTATAAGAAAAGTAGTTGTGATTCTATCGATAATGAAAGCATTGACAAAACAGAATTTTGGATTGCTAATGATGAATAGGAGGGTGATGAATTAAATTTAGATGAATTGGAGCAAGCACTTTACGAAGAAGGATCTATTCCTATTGGTGTTGGTGATCAACCCTATTATGATTTAGCAGGTGGTTCACAAGATTGTTTTCCAACTTTTAACCAACTTGGTAGCTATTTTAAATTATAATATCAAAAAACAATGTACATCATAAGTTTTAACTTACTTTTTTAATTTTTGCTAAATTTGTAGCTGATGGTGATTATAATGATGATGACTCAGATGATGATGTGGATAATCAATTTAGGATAGGTTGAACCGTTGAAGATCATCGGAAGGATAAAGTAAGTTTTTGTTTTAAATTTATGCTATGAATTGGGAGTCTAGTTTTTTTTCTATTGTGTTGGGTAATGAGTCCCTTGGCTATTGGCTATTGGCTATTGGCAAATGGCAGCAGTTCGGTTTTGGCTTCTGTGGGAATTGGTTTTCTTTTTATGTTGTGATGGGTGATGTGTTCCATGGTTGCTGGCAGATTGAATCTATTTGGTTTCTCCTTCTTCCCTTCACTTACCGTGAGCTGCTACTGAATTTGTTTGTGGTTGGGTTGGGTTTTCACTTTTCACTTGCTGCTGCTGCCTAGTTAGTAAAAACGTGTATTATACGCGAATTGTACGAACAGCAGTATAATTCGCATATAAAACACACGTATACGTATTTTGTAAAAGCTACCATATAATTCGCGTATAATAAGGCTTCCTGTATAATTCGCGAACTATTTGCGAATTATTGAAAAAAACAAAAAAACAAAATCTCACCCGCAAAACGACGTCGTTTAGTGGGTTTTTACTAAAATTAAAACATATATCTCTTCTTTGGTTCTTCTTCAATTCTTCATTTCTTCTTCCTCAGTTCTTCTTTAGTTTTTCTTCCTCAGTTCTTCACAAATTTCCACAAGCAATCAACTTCCACAATCAACACACAACAATCAACTCCAGCAAACAAGTTATCAACTCCCACAGCCGACTCCAACAAACAAATTTCCATAAGATAGTTGCTCGGGCAATAGAGCGGCGAGGTTGAGGACATCAGCAGACCCAATCATGTGAAACAATCACAAGCACAAAACCCAAGAACGGTGTGAGGGGGCGCAGATCTTGGCCACACGTAGTGGCCAACTGTGGTCAGTTGTCGGTCAGCAAGAAATGCAGAAGGAGAATAGAACAGAAGAAAAGGGAGAGAAGAGAAGGGAACATAAACAAAATATACATAAGTTTATACAAAAGAGACGAAGGTTTAAGAAAGAAGTGAAGAGAATGTGGAGAAAACAAAGAGAAAGAAGAGAAGAAACTTACAGAAGAAAGTTTTGAAAAGAACGAGAAAATGAAAGAGAAGAGACTGTGTTTAATAAAATATATAGTTTTACATGGTACATTTGTAATTTTTGTAAACTGATTGCACGGTGTATTTGTAATTTTTGTAAACAATTGGTTTTGTTATGACTGTGTTTGATTTGACACTATAGTTGAATCTTGGCTAAATATTGTGTTTGAGTTTGGAGACTATAATTTGAATATCAGTTATATTTATATATTGTGTATTTGTGTTATTGGTTAATTGAATACTTTGCATTTGAAATGTTATATTGATTTTAACCAGGTAGTCCATAAAAATGTTAAAACTAAGATTGATATTGCCGTATTTTTCAAAACGTATTATTGACAATGCACCGTATTAAACCCGTATACACCCGTACCGTATTTTTCCTATATCTGAATTTTATTGTTGAATTTTTATAAACGTATTTTTCACTGTTTGCCGTATTATACTTGTAAAATTCCCGTACCCTTTTTTTTGCCGTACCCATATTTACTAACTAGGGCTGCTACTGAATTTGTTTGTGGCTGGTTGGGTTTTCACTTTTCACTTGCTGTTGCTATTGATGGATGGTGGTTTGGTTGGTGGAATGGATTGATATTGTGTAATTTTGTATGTTGGTTGGTGGATTGGTAATTTGATATTTTGTAATTTTGTTTGTTTGTTGGTTGGTGGATTCATATTTTATATTACTTTGTAATGCCTTTGATGATGTTTGAAACTTTAGACCTAGGGATTGAATTTGTAAACATTAACTATCAAACTTTGATGGTTTTATTATTATAGGGTTTGTTTGATGGTTTTTAGTTACATAAAAAATTTGGAGTTTTTTTCTTTTTTGCTGATGTCATTATGATGACATCATTGATCCGACCGATTGGTCGGATTGGTCCAACCATGAAAATCGAAAACCGGGCCGCCAAGTTGAGTCCCGATCCGGTTTTCAAAACATTGCTCGCAGCCATATGCTAGCGAGAAGAGTATTTCTGAAGTAGAGGTTCTCAGAGTTGTCTTAGATGCCCATAGGACTTCTGGGAGATCATCGGCTCAATTGTCTTGGTTGCACCAAGCTTGGCCTTCAATGTGTGCTTAATAGTCTTATTGACAGCTTCAACCTGACCATTGGCTTGCAGTCTTGCTAATGAGGTAAATTTCTCATGAATCCCCAGCTTGTCGCAAAATTGCTTGAATTCCTCATTGTCGAACTATTTCCCATTATCAGAGATGAGCGTATGAGGAATCCCGTAGCGGCACACTATATTCTTGAAGACAAAGTCTTTAAGCTTCTTGGTAGTGATCGCGGCCAAAAGCTCAGCTTCGACTCACTTATTAAAATAATCCTCAGTCAACATGGGCCTGATGAGATCAATTTTCCACATAGAGAATGGCCAAGAACTGGTCATTGTTGTCAGCTGATGGGAAGAAGCTCGTGAGACATTCGCGAATCTCTAACACTTATCACACTTCTTCACAAAGTTAAAGGTGTCCTCGTGAACTAGAGGCTAATAATATCCTTGACGAACAATTTTGTTGGTGAGAGATCGTGCAGCAGTGTGATTACCACAGATCCTTTCATGTATCTCCTTCATGATGTAGTCTACTTCATCATCGGTTACACATCGGAGGAAATGAGTGTTAAACCCTTGCTTGTATAGCTGATTCTCGACAAGTGTGTAACGAGCAGCTCTAGTTCGTAGGATTCTCGCCTTAATCTTATCACTAGGTATAGTCTCATCTTGGAGATACTGAATAATTGGAGTCATCCAGAAAGTAGATTCGGTTATGGCTATGACTTACTCAGGCGAGTTGATGTTGGGGACCTCGACGTGCCAAACTGGAATATTGTCCGGGACATCAGAATCCAATAAGGAGGCTATTTTTGCCACAACATCCGCGACAGAGTTACTGTCTCTCAGGATTTGATTGATTATATAATGCTTGAAAGGCTTGAGCGCGGCCTTAGCTTTCGTCAGATAGTTGATCATGTTCTCTTCTTTGGCTTGATATTCTCCTAGGATCTGATTAACAACCAGCTAGGAGTTGCTATAGATGTCGATCATTTCCGACCCCATTTCTCTTGCTAGTCGTAAACCAGTAAGTAGCGCTTCATATTCGGCTTCATTATTCATAGCTTTGAATCTGAACCGAAAGATTTCATGAATCCGAGTCCCTTCGGGACTGATGAGTAGAAGACCAGCCCCGACTCTTCTTCTGTTAGAAGACCCATCAACATAGAGGCTCCAGGTTGACAAGTTCTGAATAGTTTCCTGGATGACCGCTTGAGTTCTTGATCTAGTTGATAAGAGAAATCCAAAATAAAATCAATAACAGTCTACCCTTTGATTGTTGTCTTCGGTCTGTAATGCAAATCGAACTGATTTAATTCTATAGCCCATTTGAGCAACTTACTAGAAGCCTTTGGCTTCTAAAGAACTTGTTTGAGTAGGTAGTTGGTCAAAACATGGATGGTATGACCATGAAAATAAGGTCGCAGCTTCCTGGAAGTGATCAACAGGGCATAGGCTAATTGTTCCATCTCTGGATACAAAATCTCGACATCCAATAGTCACTTGCTCATATAATACGTCGGCCACTAAACTCTGCCCTCTTCTCAGATGAGAGTTATGCTGACCGCATATTGAGAGACGGACAGGTAGATAAATAAGATTTCCTTAAGAAGAGGCTTGGATAGAAGATGTGGTTTTTCAAGATGTTCTTTTATGCTCTGGAAGGCTTGCTCATATTCTGGAGTCCATTCAAACTTCTTGTTGGCCTTGAGTATATTAAAGAACGGCAAGCAACGATCTGTTCTCTTGATATGAAGCGATTGAGAGCCAATATCTTCCCATTCAAGCTCTAAACTTACTTTCAATTGGTGAGACTTTTCATATCTATGAGAGCTTAGATCTTTTCGGGGTTGATTTCAATCCCCTGGTGGTTAACCATATACCCTAGGAATTTTCCTGAGGATTAAGCTTCATTATATATCTTCGGAGTACGTCGAACATTTCAGCGAGATGTGTTATATGATTTGAAGCGACATGCAACTTAACTAGCATGTCATCGACATAGACTTCCATTGATTTTCTGATATACTCAGAAAATATACGGTTAACCAAACGCTGGTAGGTTGCCCCAACATTCTTCAAACTGAAGGGAATGACCTTATAACATTACAGTCCCCGATCTGTGATGAACGAGATATGCTTCTTGTCAGGCTTATACATAGAGATCTGATTATATCCCAAGTAGGCATCCATAAAGCTTAACAGCTCATGCCCAAAGGTGGCGTCGACGAGCTGATCAATCCTGGGCAAAGGGAAACTATCCTTCGAACAAGATTTATTGAGATCAGAGAAATTAACGCAAGTTCGCCACTTGCCATTGGGTTTCTTCACCAAAATCAGATTGACAACCCAACTCAGGTAATAAGCTTCCTGAATGAACCCGTTTGAGAGGAGCTTATCCACCTCAACTTTAAGAGCAGCATAGCGCTCTGGATCCATGACTTTTCTCTTCCAGCGAATTGGCTTGATTGCGCTGTTAATGTTGAGTGCATGACATATTATGTTCGAGCTGATCCAGACCATCAGCATGAGTCCATGCAAAAACATCGATATTCTGTCTAAGGAAGCTCGTCAAATCTTCAGCAAGCTGAGGGCTAAAATTACTCCTAATTCTCAATACTCATGTCGGCTCACTTTGGTAGACAGATACCTCAGACAGAGACTCAACCAGTCTGTGGAAATATTCCTCCTGAACACGAGGATCTATGCTATCTTCCACTAGACCCAGCTGTGGTTCGATCCTGCTGATCGTCATAGCCTGCTCGAGAAGGCCCACCAACCTCCATTTCCCTATGCATTCCATTTGCACTGCTCTCACATAGTAGTTACGAGATTCGCTCTGAGACCGTTTTACTTCTTCGCACCCCGTCGGAGTA